AGCTGGGGACACTTATTCCTAGCAAGCTATCATTTTGCAGGGCCCTAACTAACCCAGGAGGTGTTACAAATCAAATAGAGCGAGCAGACACTTCTCATTGTACATATTAGGACTGCCCCACTAAGAAGCTGAACTATTGGGGAGAAGTGCTCTGATGATTTCACTGCTGAATTATGTAAATAATTTTAAACTTTCACACAGACAGGACAATACACATAATCCCTAGATTTACACATGCTTACAGATTTCAACCTATAAAATTTAAGATGCTTGAAAAAAATCTGACACTTTCTTTGATTAGAGTAGCTGCACTGTTATTACTGGAACTAGTTTCACTGCAAGAAAGAATAACCAGCAACGTGCAAGGGAAAAATGTAGTTTCAGAGTAGCTTTAATCAGCCTGGTCATAAGCTGAGGCTGAAAACAATGCTGGTTTTGTCCTGCAACCTTCCATGCTCAACACAGCACTCATCTAGCAACTACACAGAATGAGCTGCTGCAGTTCACTGCAACCAACAAAAGATCAACTTCTTTCAATGCTCATTTTCATTTGGGTTGACAAAACAACCAGACTCACCCTGTGACCACAGGGCAACTTTTGGACCCTGTGGGAAGTGAACGAGCAGAGGGTGAAGGGCAGGATGGCCCCTCGCAGCAACAGGCCAGCGAGATCTAGTTAAGCATAGCATGAGATGCCAAGGATAACTGATACGTGGTGACTGAGTCTTTCCAGTTCTGTGATGAGACAGACATTTCAGCACATTTCTCCATCTCAATCCCTCACACGATGACAGCGGCTCCTTTTTCCCCACAGCTGCAGCAGCAATTTACAGGCCTTTAAACTGGAAGGATGCAGGAAGAAATTCAGCATCAGCAGCAGTTCAACATCCCTTGTCCTTCAGCTGGAACCATCTCGACAGAGCGGGCTACAAACAAGTCAAAAAAAAAAAACCTCTCCCAAAAATGGCCCTTCTGATTAGAAGATCAGGTTATTCTTCCACACAACACGTGGTGGTATTGCTACTTAATTCCATCTGATGAACTGTGATAGTTTCAAGACAACATGTTTGACGGCAGGTTGATTAGCAAACAAGAGGGTAAATATTTTTGTCCTTCATGCTTTTAGTTTAAAAATTGTATTCCAAGAACAAAACACAATCTAGGTTTACAAAGTATACACCGTTACATAAAACAACACCTACACTCTAAACCAGATATTCCTGACAGCAATCCAATCAACACAGAAGCTATGGCTTCAGCCACACATTCTCACATGTCTAGTAATTCTTGGGGCAGCTCGAAATTTCAAACAAAAAAAAAAAAAAGTATTAAAAGTAGAGTAAGAGAATGCCTTGGAAATTACCATGAAAGAAACAGCTCCCATCTGTAAAGTAGCAAAGGCTGACAGAGACTAATACCTACCTTCAGGTCACCTCCTGAGTCCCCCAGACAGTCTTTGTCCAGCTTAACCTATTTACAGTTATACTCTAATATCAGAACCAAGGAATGCTTACTGAATCTTTTACCTGTACATCTTTTGCTCGTTGCAAGGCTCTAAAACGGGGGGTTTCTGTACAAGCAGAAAACTAACTACTAATACCTAAGACAAACACATCCTCCCGTGGACCTCTGCAGCTCTCCCTTCCAACATTGATGGATGCTGACCAACTTTACTGGCAACAAACCACGTACTTAAACGCGAGGGTAGAGAGTGTTGCAAAGCAACACAGATGGGGGAACTTTCATTTTTAAGTAAGAAGGGGAAAAAAGTTAACAGATTACAGCAGACAGTCTGCTCTAACAGATTGCAAGTACAAAATGGCCATCTACTTTGTATTTGGGATGCTTCACATCTTTGCTTGGCACAAAAGGATGGTCTGATCTCATCCATACCAGGCTGTGACTGACAAGTACTCAGCGTGTTTACTATTAAATACTGTCTCATCAACTGATGTGTACACAATTGCTCAGACCTTACAAATGAGAAGAATGAGCAATCAAAGCAGACTAAAAGTCAAGCCCAAGCTCTACTTAAAGTTAACAAGATGGGCTTGAAAAGCTATTCCCACCATTAGGGACTAAGAACTTGACAAGATTTACCACTCCGAGGAGTTTTCTGAGACTCTAAAAGAAATTACTATTTTAGAAGTGTGTTTTAGAAGTAATAACGACCTGTACCCACTACAGCAGCTACCCACTGACACAAAACTTGAAAATTAAAAGATGTTTTAATTATGTGCTTCAAGTCTTCTGCTTCTTGACATAAAGGAGAAGATACCAAATTACTACAAGGTATTTCACAAGTTCAGGTGCTTAAGTATAAAAGAATTTACAGAGCATAAGGAAACGATTTCATTAAAACAAAGATCAGTACGTGGAACAGTGAATTTGAACCACTCCCTGTTTCCTGTGCATGAGTCCTCAAGACAATTCACATGCAATTAAGAATTCTAATTCTCTACTAGCTCCATTCCCTAGTTCCTTAAAGCTTTAACCAAACTCTTTTAGTGGACTTGATGAATCCCAAATTGCAAAGTCTCAAAATGCATCAGAGGGCGGTTTGCTCAGGACATGCGTGTCAGGACAAGTCCCCACGTCAGAAGTCAGCAGAGGGCACTGCCACACACCTACAAATTAATATTTTGCTGCTCTTTTGGCCCTGAAAAATAGGAGGTCAGTCATGGGAGGAGAACTGTGCCACAGCCAGAACAACTACTACTCCTTGCCATCAGCAGTCAAGACCACAGGTACTCCTGACAGCTGCCCACACACAACATAGAGACAGTGTGAGATACCCACAGCTCTCACAAACACTAAGTCACCACACCAGAATTAAAACGCTACAGAAACAAGGGAGAACCCGAGGTCTCCACAGCTACATAGTGGTTAAAAATATTTCCATGTTTCTTATGGCATTTGGGGCAAAGGCAGTACACACCTTCCAAAGTCCTAACACACAAGTCAGAGAAACAAAGTCACTGGAACAGGTATGTCTGGAAAGAGACCAGGAAGGGGAACAGATCAAAGAGAAAGATGGCATAATGGACACTGAGGAAAGAGGGCAAGGAGGACGCTCTCAACACCACTGAATTTAGACCTCTAATGTCACACCACATCTACTTTCGTGCTACGTCTCACCTTCCGTTTCAACACGAATTTCACTTTATTAAGCAAAGTTAAACAATAGTCTCAAAGCTGTCCAAGTTCTCATTGAACACTCTCCCCTTTCTGGGAAGTTGAACACTGGTAAACTATTTAAGTCCCACAACTAGGAGACAAGGCCACAAGAAGGTGGAAAGGATCTATAAATAATAATAAGGACTCCATTTTTAGCAAAAATAATTAGGGCACACAAGTGAGTGACCAGTGGCAACCAGGAAACCAAACTACATGGAACTGCACAGTACATTACCCTTTATTGCCTTTTGCAATAAATCTGTGGAGAGCAGCAGCTGTTCTCTTCATTCCCTGTGCTATTGGTTAGGCTCACAGAGACCTTAATCCTCAAAATGCAAATACAACCGTTAGAAATCCATGTCAGGGGAAAAAACCCAGCTATCTATACAAGAATCTGATCATCACAAATTGAGATGCTCACCGTTGCTGTGATTTCCCTTTCAACCAACACAGTCTAAGTTGTTAAAATAAGAATTTTCTGGTCGATGCTTTTACAAAAGGAAGCAGAAACAGGTTCAGCAGCCCCATCTCATGTACAGAAAGTAAGCTTATGCCTCTTGCCTCTGGCGCTGTGTATGGCCCATGGGAAGACCACACTGACAAAGTGCACCAACAGCAGTTCTTCCCACAGCCTCTCTCTTCCAAACCGGCATTGTCCTTTGCCAATTTGAGAACACGATGCTCTACTTTGCAAGTTTCAATTACGTGACAAATCCCAAGGGGGTGGCAGCAAGAGGGAGGACTGCTGCTTATCTAGGTGAGTGGGCTGCAGCAGCAAAAAACCTCCGTGGTGGTTTGAGAGGGCTTCCCGACAACAAAGTTTTCAGATGAAATTACACCAGGCATCTTAAGGGGGGATGTTTGTCACCAACGAAACATGGAAATCCTGTTATTACACCTTGCTTTGGGTCGTACACTCCCGCCACATACTTTACACTAATTCGGATGTTTCTTGGACTGCTTTGTGTGCAGATTCGCTTCATTCGCCTGGCAAAAACTCACACGCAGCAAATCTCAGCTCGAGTGACCCAATAAGCCCTGGGAGCCCCGGTGCTACTCAGCAAGGAGCGCGAGGAAGACTGTTGCCCAAATCCTACTCAACGTTTATGAGGGAACATTATTCAAATGAGCGCAATAACCCACCAGTTTCACGAAGGAACAGCACAATGCCCGTGAAAAATACCGGAGGCTGCACTGCAGTTTATTACTCTTTCTCAAACAGAACTTACACAACGTGTAACATGATACCTCCCACCTGAGAAAGCTTGCCTCTTTGGCTGCCAAAAACTCGACTTGGCGAAGCCCAGAACACAAAGTAGAACAAAAAGACAAGACTGCCAGAGTACCTGTTCATCAGCTGGTGACCCGCACTGACCACACACCCCCATCTCGCACTCGCCGCCCTTCTCACGGCCCTCTCAGCTCTGCCATGAGTTAGAGAGCAACCACAGTTCATAGGTTATGATCGGCCACAAGCTAAAAAGGTTTATAGGTTACTTTACATCAATTTACAAGCAACGGTGTGACAGGCACAAGCAGTCGGCTTGTTTGTCGGCTCTGCAGCCCCAGGAAACTCGCCCTTAGAGCAGGAGACACACGGAGCGACCAGGAAGGACGAGTTATGCTCGCCAGGAACCCGGTGCGGTTTTGCGGGAGTTTCTGGGCGCACAAGGACTCTCCGAGGCACAGAACGCTCAAGGGGCACGCAGGGCGCCCGGCTGCGGGGGACCGCGGGAAAGAAGAAAGGGAACGCCGCCTCCCCGGGGATCACCCCCCGCCGCGGGAGATGAGCCGGCCTCCCGCCGCCCCAGCCCGGCACTCACACGACCGCCCGGGAGATCATCCAGGACACCATCGCGGCGAGCAACCAGCACGTCCCTCAGCCGCCCGGGCCGCAAATGGCCGCGGCCCGCCCCGCCCCGCCTCGGCATCGGCGGCTGCGCGCATGGGTGCCGTGGCGCCGCGGGGCGGGACCGCGCCCGGAGGGGGGAGGGGAGGGAGGGGAAGCCGCGGCCCTGAGGGGGCCCCGCCGCGTGTGAGGGGGTGGAGGTGCCCGGGGGTGACCGACTGAGGTGAGAAGTGTGTGCGTGTGGGAGATGCTCACTCCTTGCCTTGGCTTTTCCCCTGTGCCCCCCCATGCGCTTACATTTGCTGTAGGACTCACCAAAACCTCCGTGTCGCCCGATGAAGTCACCTCAGTGTGGTGGGACATGATGCTGGAGGGGTTAGATGAGGGTACTGTGTGTCGCCCGGCTGGAACCCTCCATAAGGAGGAGCAGAGCGGGGGGCAGCGGCTCCCTGGGCTCCACCACCCCCTGAATCACCCCGGGAAGGCGCTTGTTGACGAGCACTCGGTGCAAAAAGCTGTCTAAGGACACATCCTTGGGCGGTGGCACAGACTGCTATGTGCAGGTAAGCCAAGACTTCGGGTGAGCAGCAGGATACTTGTTGGAAGGATTAGTGCCTGTGCATCCTGTTGCCTTTGTTCCTTCCCTACACACCTTGTTATCAGCTGCTGCCCAAGGCAGGACAGCAGGAGAGCCCACAGCGCGACCTTCTCCAGGTATTCCTGCCGAGCTCAAGGTCTGGCAGGTCGGGACATGCAGGAGAAGCCGACTGCTCCCTGACAGATTGCCTAATCCATTGCAATCCATCCCCGCATACCAGCTTTACACTTCCTGCAGAACTGTTGCACACATAAAAGGACAATATTTTGCTAAAACTGACTCTTCATCTTCTCTCAGGAGAGGAGGTTGTGTGAAGTTCTGCCCGTGCCATCGCTGGAAACATTCAACTTTACTCCTCTGATTTCAACACGAGTTACAGAGTGATACCAAAGCGACAGATATAGATGCCACTGAACGTGCCACTAAGGCAGCTAAGGTAGGGAAAGAGCAGGTTACTGTTTCAGTACTGCTCCTGGTGACTCTCACAGTAAGTGACATGCCAAAGTCAGCATCACCATCTGTAGCAGAAATTAGTTCTTTAACAGGTCTTTAAGTGACGATAATGTGCAGTTTCCCTGCCTGCCATACAGCAAGAAGAAAGAGCTTAATCTTTGTAAACTACTTACTACCTTATTCAGATGAGAGGTGCGAGGTGAGTGCAGGATGGTTTCTGTTCCACAGGCAAGCACCAGAATTCCTCGCCTTCTCCAACGGGTAGAACCTAGCCACAGGTATCTTCACTCCCTTGCAGCCTTCAAACACAACATGTGCAGTCAAAAGGCCAAAAGAAGGGAAAGAAAGAGGGCGAATAAACAATTGTGGAACATTTCAACAATGACAACGTTTGAAAACTCTTGCTATAGTTGGATATTGTGAAATTTGAAGCCTGAAATGGGAAAGTATACATTATAAAAATGAACTATTTTTAACCATGTAGGAATTTTGGTCTTGCAAATAATGATATTGCCCATCTTGGGTGTCTCCTCAACTTGACCTTTGAAAGGGGTTACTGATGCAGGAAGAGGTAGAGAGGAATTTGTTTGTGAGCAATTTAAAGTACACCACTCATCAATCTCAGTTTTGAAACAGGCCTAACCTGAATGCATTCTTCCTTTCATTCAATGAAAAGAGAAATCTGAGCCACTGCTTCTATGCTCTCTGAATAACAATACAGTGGCAGACTGTACAGAGCAAACTCACACAGCAAAGCATTTGTAATATAAATTACCTGGGAGAGATTACATTTTAGGCTCCAGCTCTGTAAACTCCTGCTGCCTGCCTGACGCTGCACTGAAGTTTGTAGCATTCCAGTCCCTCCAGAGCAAACTGCAAGATGAGAGCTCCACTTTATAGCACGTGAAATTAAGTATACAATACATTTCTTCACCACAAGCAATTGTGTGTTTGGTACTAGCTCAGAGAACCATTCCAGGAAAAGACTGATACTCTTTTTTACTGTCTGAGATCATTTATATAATAATTCCATAGCTGCATATTTTATTTCATATGGAGTATGTTTTAGAAGAAAACCACTCCTTATTTTGTAGCAAGACATTTATTTTTCTTGTGTTTGTTGCCATGGCAATACTGTCTCTGGTGGAAAGCTAAATTTACATTTAAAGAGGCATTTTTTAAAGGGTAAAGGCAGATGGCTCCTAAGAGTAATTTACCTTCCTAAGAAGATTAGACTTTATTTCATAGAATGTTTTGAGACTTAATTCAGTGCAGCAAGCTGGGTGGTGTTTGCTGGGCCCCCAGCAGACAGACACAGGGATGCCACGTGAACTTCCCTGTATTCCAGTTCACACATAATGATAATCCATGCTCCTGCACTTCAGAAATAGAGCAACATGGCAATTAAATCCATGCCATGTACTTATTCAAACCTGGCGTGTCTTACTCATATGTCTGCCTATTTTTATCTAAGGAGTTATGTAAGGAGGAGACTTCCAGGTATCTCATTATGGGATATTTTTGACACTCCTTCCAAAAGCCACTTAATGTAGTTAAAAAGTTCTTGTAAATAGTTTTAGCAGTGTTTGGAGAATCATTTGTAAAGGCCACCTAACTTCTTTGATATAATACAATATATGTATACAAACATCAATGTTTAACTTGCACATCTTTTACAGGTAAACCAACATCTCAATTACCTTGCAGATGTGCAAATAGCAACTGAGCAACATTTAGAAAGACATGAGCTAGTTTCTGAGAGAGGGATTCAGCTCCCTGTATTAGGAGGATGTGCTCCCCGAAGACAGCATCACCTATGTTAAAAATGCATATAGGTTAATCACAGTACTGAGCTTTTATTAACTTTGCTGGTTTGTATTAATCTATTCTAGAGGAGTCTCAAATATAGAACAACTTGAAAAAATACGGAATTCTCTCAGTTACTGAATCATGTCACATATTTGTGATTTTGGTATTAGAACACAGAACAGATGATGCCAGTTTACTTGTTGAAACAACAAAATACAGAATGGGTGAAAATAACCATTTCTAAGCTGGTGTGATTATTAACTAATATGGCTGAAATTCATAGTTTATGCTACTTTCAAATATTTAACTCCTCATCTATCTTTCCTATGAAGCAATAGCAAAGGTAGGTTCTGATCTCTAAACAGCCCAGTAGTCCTTCTGCCTTAATGAGATTTCATTGGAGAGAGAGTGTTGGGCAATGCTGTGGACATTCTATGAACTCAAAGCAGCTGAAGCTTTTGCACAGAATTCTGGACGTGCCACTTCTTGTTCACGTGTGTGTTCAGCCTCCCAGCACAGCACCTCCCCGGGGAACAAGGCAAAGCCCATTGGTGTCTAACACAGCTGTGTCTTAAGCTATTTTTTTTCCCCAACACACAGACAGACAGAATGCCAAGAGGCCATATGTTTATCTTTTTCATAAATGTTATTGTGACATTTATTAACATTCCAAATTAGTCACATGAAGCATCCAACTTAATGAAAAACATAGTTTAAAATTGATATTTCTGCCTTTTTTTTTTTCTTCCTTTGGCATGTTTAACCACTGTTGTTCTCACAGTTTTATTACACACAGTCTGACATTCCTTTTAAAGCTCTTGCTTCTATATGAATAAAGTCCTTAAGTTTTGAATCATTTCTTCCCCTCATGTTCAGAGATACACCTGCAAATGTAAAACCTGAAAAGACAAACAGCAACATGACGTAAAATTCATGGTTTAGGGGGTTTCTTGGAGTCAGTTTACCAACTTTCAGGGCCCTGACAATTTCAGTTACTTCTGCATTTTAAGCAGTGTGGAATTTAGAATTAAAAAAGGCATCTAATTGGAGTTGTAGGATGACTGCACTACATAGTAGAGGGAAATCTTTGCAAGACGAGTAAGCAACAACAGGCCCATGGATTTTTTCCTCCTAAGACTACAAAAGAATGAAGTCTAGCACTGTTAATTCTGTGAGTTATAGGTCAGGAAAAGCAGATAAGGACAAAACACCAAAAGCAACTCAGAACAGCCCTGTCAATATAAAGCCAGAGCATTTTCATCACTGCAGCACTAGCCTGTTTTGACTGCACCAGGCAATTCAGACAGAATCCAATTAATTTGATTAAAAGTACAAACATTAAAAGGGTACTCTGCTTCCTATTTTAAAGAAAATTCACCATGCAGTGAAAAGGCTTGTCGTGAAAAGGCAATCACTATTGATTTGTTTTATCAATTTTTAATGGGTTGCAATGGGTTAAGTGCCTCTAATTCCTTCTTACCAGAAACATAAGAGCACCCCTTAGGATTTTTTTTTCTTAAGGGAAATGTGATCTGAAGAGGAAGGGGAAAGTTCAGAACAGCTCCATCTGAAACTTTCTCCTGGCAGCAGTCATATGTCCATCCTACCTTATTGCTTCCATTTGGAGCTGAAAGCGTATGAAATGCAGCCCCACAAGGGCAAGCTGAGGCAACAGAGGAGCTGATCTCCAGCTCATCAGGAGTACCCAGGAGGCTCTCACAAAGCAGCTCTGCTGCCCCTGTCACTTCCCTCTGTCTGCATTGATAAGCCACAGAGAGAGAGGTCTGACGTGTTGTACTGGACCTGCAAGCATTACTCTGTATCTAAGTGTGACCACACCAGTACAGCCCAGCAGGGCAGTCCCCTGGACAAGTTGACATAGGTTATTTTTCCCCTGTTCCCTAGTAGAACAGCATTAAAGCTGTTAACTTCTTCAAAAGCTGCAAATGAATGTTTCAGTAAATATGCCTCTCTCCTGGGAGCAAACCCATTTTAAATGATGGGCTTCACATACTATGGTATCTGATGATCTCTGGGATTTGAAATCTGTACACAGAGACACAGACCAAAGCCATATTATTCCTTCCTGTCTGGGTAGTGTCATCTCAGCTATATTCCATCACTACTTGTGATGCATCACATTTAATAATTATAGCAATATGTTAGAGATTTTTTTTTTAAAATAC